ATCAATGATTCTCTCTCATCATTGATGTTTCTATCGCTCTCTCCCTCTCCCTTCCTCTCTGAAATCAATAAAGATATATTTAAAATATATATATATATACATATTTTTAAAAAGATTATAAAGAGCAAATTAAGTGGTTTGTGAATGGGGCAGCATCCCACCCAGCTACCCGCAGGGCCCCAAGGGCTGTACCAAATGGGAGGCACTTCTAGGAAGCAGGGTGGGGCGAGGGAGCTGCTGATAAAAGAAAAGAAAGGTTCTTTGGGGGCGGGGCCATCTCTTCTTTGGGGGTGGGGCCATCTCTTTGGGGGAAGGGAATGGGAGCTGTTTTGATCTTGCACTTTGCCGCTCTGGATGTGGGCCCTGGAGAAGGCAGGTGCTTGCTTGCTCAGAAACATTCCGCCCCGGTTGACTACCGCATTGCGGGCAGATCACGAGAATTCTCGTGTTTTCATATTACACCGTGTTTTACAAAGTATCATACTTTCAAAAAAGATATTAGCTTGTAAGAACATGTAACAAATAACTTCAAAATGCAATGGGTATTTAATTTTAAAGCGTGCCTTTATGTAAAACGTTTTTTGTACTCGTTCAATAGAAACTTACTAGTATCTGGCCCCTGGGTAAACCTAGCAATAAAGCTGCTGGTCCACAATGTGTTAATACCCAGCTGTGTGCTGTGTGCTGCTCCAGATCCAGCCTGGGGTGACCAGAGATGCACCTTCGAGGTACCCTGAACAGGCTTTTTACAAAGGAAGCATTAAGTAGAAGCTCTAGTGCAAGCATGTCAAACTCAAAGGCCAACACAAGCCAAATAAATGAGGCCTGTGGCCCCCGGGCCACGAGTTTGACATGCTTGCTCCAGTGCAGTGGTTCTCAACCTTGGCTGCACATTAGAATCACCTGGGAATCTTTTTAAAAGAACCTGGCTATGCTGATCAACTGAACGCTGTCTCCGTGTCATTCCATCTTCGGCGACTCCGTCCACACCTTTGGGAACCCCTGGACCTGCTGGGGTTGGACCCCAACAAAAATGCACTGGGTATGTAATTTTAAGGCGTGCCTTTAACATTTATGTAGAAACTTTTTTTGTACTCGTGCGATAGAAACTTATCAGGCCACGGGGTAAAGCTAGCAATAGAACTACTGGGTTTGGGTTTTCCACGTTGGACAAGTGCGGCGCGGCGGGCAGCGCGCTCCCCTTCCCCCG